CCCAAGCAAATAGGTAAATGAAAGTTTCTCTGACAATAAGCATTAGCACAGTCTGGGACAGCATATTTGGAGAGCGAGAGAATCCACTTAATATGGTCCCAATGGTCGCATAATCTCGTCTATTACGCCGCACTCTCACTCAACATGAGACGCACAGCCTCTGTGTCGGACATATTTCAACGCGTCGACTTCAAATACTAGGCTGGCCATTTCAATTTGACAAAATATTGCCGGTGGAACACACCCGATTTGCTACAAAGTGCCGTTCCATCACCAAATGTCTCACAGTAAATTGCCGGACTTTTCTTTCTTCAACCCTGACGAAATCGAGAATACAAATTAACATATGATTAACGTCGATCAAAAATTCGCTAAACAAAATGGCCTAAATGGAAAACCAACTTTGACGGCAGTTATTGAATAGCTAAGTATCCGACCAGGGACTTTCAATTCCAATCGTAAGAGTTGCTTGCCAAGACAAAATACAAGGGGTATTCATGCGATGATGCGACCGAAGATGATGCACGATATGCACGTGACTCATACATTCCAAAGAGCGTGAAAACTGGTAAGGGATCACTTGCCGTTGAGATTTGAAGATGTCTGCATTTTTTTTGAATTCAATCTCGAATAACCAGAATTATTGAATTGCATGACTTTGAATACTCATATCGTGTGAGCTGCATGAGGAATGTGTGTAGAGTCTAAGTGGTGTTTTCTGTGTAATACTAAGCGGCTTAGACGACAGGCATCTCTGCAGGCAGAAATTAAACTGAGTCGGTAGGGACATGAGTCCACATCTCGCGAGAGAACAATGGCTATTTTCGTAATCGTCTTAAACAGCATCTCTGATCTTCCATTGCGGATAAGAGGGCAATAAAGTAACAAGTAAACCATATTGTCATCTTCGAACGGGTGGTACTCACAGCTTTTTGGTACTTTTGGTTTTTGCGTGTGCAATGCAAATGTACATCAAGACATAAACATTTGCATGCTTTTTCGATGAGTACCCCCTTACTCGGAATATCAAGTCCAACAACCAAATTGGATAGCGCCTCCCAATACAAATTATAGCCATCATATGAGGCTTCAGCGGTTGCTATTCCTGGTGCTGTGCACTTTGGCATCATCTGTCCTTGCTGAAAAGGTACTCGTGACGAACGAGTCACCTCAGTTCTGCACAGGCATGTACAGTAAACGAGACTGGGATGGCGATATAGAGCCTCACATCGAAGTGAATTTACAATATTTCAAGTCAGGGGATGATAATGTGCATTCTTCTCTCTCTGTCGTCATATTTGAATACAGCGATATGGATGCGTTGGGAGTGAAGGTATCCGATATCTTTACGCATTACGTGTGCTCGGAAGAGCTCGTTGCCAAAGGGTTATGTGACACTAGTGAGCTGTATCAGTTCATCGTCAACAAAAACGTCACTCCCAAGGCCGAAATATTGACCAGCTTTCTTACCAGTTATGGTGATAACGGCTTGCGGTACAATATTCCGAAAACAGGCTACTACTGCGTAGCATGTTCTTCTCCACTTGATTTGGGAAAATCGCAGAACGAATTCATAGTTCAGGTAAACTTCCAGAATTCCTATGGAAATTTGCCTGCAGCAGAAATCCCCAAGCTGAAGTTTTATGGCCTGCTGGCTGTTCTGTATGCGGTTAGTCTGTCTGTATACCTGTTCCAATTGTTCATCCACAGATCCGAGCTTCTCAAGTTACAGAAATGCCTTGCAGGGGTTTTGGTGTACTTGACACTGGAGAGTACCTTTAAGTGGTTTTTGTTTTCTTTCCTCAATCACAATCAAATGTCCCAATTACACCCATCTGCAGATGATATTGTGTTTTACGAGATTTGGATATCTCTTTTGAGCGTGTTCAGAACATCGTTCGCGCTTTCATTTTTGGTTCTCATCTCTGTTGGTTACGACGCTGTGTATCCTAAGCTGATCCCAAAATGCAGGGGATTTATGGTTGCTTCGGTTTTGACTTCATGTTGCTACTTGATGTACGGCTGTTTTTTTATTGTGATCTCTTACTTCAACACCATATTCCAGATACACGCTCCTCCCGATTCCAACAACAATTCTGTCGCTGAGGTGAAATTGTGGGTTAATGGTATTGTGTGTGCTTGGAGCGTTATGTCGTGCCACTACTTGGCTTTTTCAGGTCTTTCAGAAACCAAGAAAGTGTTGGCGAACAGCAAACAGCACACAAAATTGAAGCTGTACCAAAGGCTTTTCTGGATATTGGTTGTAAACATGTTGCTGCTGATTACTACCGCCATTATCTTGATGTTTTTGAAGATCAGCAACTCGTTCACTGAATTTAGGAGCCTCAGGAGCCTCTTCGACTTCTGCACGTCCTATCTATTCTTAATTGTGTTCACCAGTGTTGTCTTTTTGTTCAGACCCAGCCATGAATTATACCTATTGAGTCTCAGAGATGATATTCCTGAATATGAGGTTTCTGGAGAGCTACATGCTGTGTCTGGTGGAAACGATTTTGAATTTGATGATCTAGACAAACTAGAGAGTGCTAAGTTGATCGGTTCTTCCTGCAGCCAGTGTGGTGATATTGCATCTAAGCTTGATTCAAGTTGGGAGCCCCACACTAGCGAGCATGAGAGAAGCTTGCCTCCTCCCAATTACTGTGAGCATGAAGATAAGGAATCAGTGAATGGGCACCGATTTTCTTAGTATGTTCATTCCACAGCTTCAAATTTTGGTTTTAAGTATGCGTGGAAGTATTGACAGAGATATGCTACTCCATTTTTCTAGTTTTCTCTGCAACATATTAAGATATACAGAGATGGAATTCAGATACACGATGAGTCATACCCCCATGTTCTAACCTAGCTTAATGTCGTCTGTCGACTCAGACCTTTCTGAAGCGGGGCTGTATCACAGTAACAATCAAACTGTAAGTTTACCCTCTTGGATCATTCCTCCTTTATAACCTTCCCTGGTTCAAGAATGGCATCCTTCCACAATAACGCCACAAACAGAGTAGCTACTAAATGGAGAATGTGTCTGATAAATACAGACCGTTTAACTGCAGCTAACATAGCATACATTGAAAAGATAATGGACTTGATAGTTCTGGACTCTTCAATCATCCTCCATAAACCTGATGGTATCGGTATATCAAAGATGCTTTTGAAAACGTCAAACGCAAGGGGCATTAGAATCAGTATGGCAGTGGCTATAAATCTGATTGCAACTGATTTTCTTCCGTGCAAACATAATTCTGAGAATGTTTTAACCGAATAGTAGAGACAACAGATAAACAAGACCCAGCTTCTCCCCGTTACAAAAACACTTCCAACCACTTCTCGACCATTCTCATCATATGTAGGAAAAAAAGCGGATACTGAGCCTATGATAACATTTCCAATGGTCGCCCACCTTATGAACCTAAAAAACTGTTGATTGGTGGAGTCTGAAGAAACAGGAGAGCCTGACGATGCTAACAGCAAGTCGTACAAGCCATTGAAAAAGAAAGTGGCGGCCAAAATCATACTCGCAAGTCTCAGAATTGTTTCCAGAAGGGTGGGATTATCATCGCCTGGACTCATTTTGTAAAACGTCGCAGCTGCCGAAAAGGAAGAAAAGGATTGGCGGATCGTTTGTATCGAAAATAGTCGATTTGGTAAACCCGAAGAGAAAGTAAAGCCCAGGGACATCAACATCAAGTTGTACAAGGTCCAGCTAGAAAGAACATTGGCTAAGATCCGAGAAGCAATTCTCAGAAAACCTGCTAGAAAGCTGGGCTTGTAGGGATCATGCATATTCAACTTGTATAAACGACTGGCCTCTAAAAAGTAATATAAGGAGGTTCCGAACATGTACATCAGGATCCAAACTTGAGCCTCCCCATTTTTCAATTTGTGTTTCGGGCCAATAATCACGGAGAAAGATTTGTTCCGATATAAACTCCAAAAAGAAACATAATAACTGTACAGGAATGAACTGATCATGTAGATGAGGCCAATGGCAAAGTAGATGTGCATATACTTGTAATCATCTCTGCTCAATTCACCATGGGAATCTCGAAAAGTGACGTAAACATAGGCGATCATGTTCTCCTTAGGACAGTGAAAGTCCGCGATAATGCAATAGTTCCCTGGAGTTCCAAGAGGGTGTTGACCAGTGAGGTTTTCGGGAGAAAGGGTAAAGGATGAAATCAACGATTGGTTCAGGTTTTTGGCCAGGACTTCATCCAGACTGTATTGTTCTATGTCTGGATTAACAGTTATGTCAGTCCTAGATATAATCACCGACCAGTATGAGAGATCTGATCCATGTGGTAGCTCAATTTCCCTTCTTACATCTTTGTCGAGGTTGATGATTTCCAAGTCCTGTTTGGTAAGAACCAAGATATCAATATACCATGGTGTCAAATCTTCGTTCAGATAGTCCTCTACCTCCCCCTCATAATTTTTGAACTTATCAACTTTAAGCTCAATGACTTGCTGGACTTGCCGCGAAACAAAGAATGCAGGAAAGTTGTAGCCAGAAACTTCACCATCCATCTTCGTCGCACGATTTGGCTTTAAGGCAGCATTGAATGTCCTTTCGTCAGCATAATTATGAGAAGCACTTACGAGCACGCATATGAGAAGCAGATGGATAATAGATCTCGTGTATCGGAACATTACCGCGCAACTTCCTAAATGATGCCGCAAGATCTAAAGCGATGCTTGCCAAGACACAACACTATCGTGCACCAGGAGGGACATTCATGCAACGCAAGCGGCCGAAGATGCATCGCAGGCTGCACGTGACTCATACATGTTCGCAACGAATCGCTTTCCGTTCAGATCAGCAGAACGTCTTGCAACCATAGCGATGACAGTCTCAAATTGATTCTGTGACTAAAAAGCATTGGATGATTATACGGTGCAAAGTATCTGAGGATCTCTGGACTGAAAGGAGTGTACTCGGCTTAATAATAAGCTACTCAGACGACAGGATGATGCGTCTGCAGGCAGAAAACAAAATGGATCTGGACCCATACGAGCGTGACCAGAAAACCCACAAGGACTCTGCACATTTCTTCTATGTTACCTATATTCTACCATTGGAGGCATGAAGGTTATTCAAAATCAGTGCATCACGCAGTTGTCTGCGCGTGGGTGGACCCACTGTCTTTTGACACTTTTGATTTTACGTGTGCCATACAATATAGGACGCATTTACAGGCAGATGGTGCAGGCAACTCTATCAGGGTTATTATCTCCTTAAACGGAGTACCAAGACACGCAGGCTACGGAGTAATACAGAACTTCGCAACATGAATCATAGCCGTTATATGAGGCTTCAGCAGTTGCTATTCGTGGTGCTGTGCTATTTGGCTTCGTGTGCCCTTGCGGAAAAGGTGCTCGTGACCAACGAGTCGCCTCAGTTCTGCTCGGGTATGTACAGTAAGCAAGACTGGAATGGAGATATCAAGCCTTTCATTGATGTGGATTTGAAGTATTTCAGATCAGAGTTTGACTTCGATATTAAAAAACCTTCCCTCTCTGTTGTCATATATGAATACAGCGATATGGATGCTCTGGGAGTGGAGCTATCCGATAAGCCTATGCAGTATATTTGTTCGGAAGAGCTCGTCGCGGCTGGGCTATGTGAGTCAAGTGAACTACATCAGTTCATTGTAAACAAAAACGTCACTCCAGAGGCCGAGATATTATCCAGCGTTCTTACCAGTTACGGTAATAACGGCTTGCGCTACAAAGTCCTGAAAACGGGCTATTACTGCGTTGCTTGTTCTTCTCCACGCAACTTGGGGGACTATGAGAACATGTTTGGAGTTCAAGCGAACTTCCAGAATTCCTTTGGAAATCTCCCTGCGGCAGAAATACCCAAGCTGAAGGTTCATGGCTGGCTGGCTATTCTGTATGCGGTCGGCTTATCTGTATATCTGTTCCAATTGTCGGCCCACAAATCCGAACTTCTTTTGTTACAGAAGTACATTGCCGGTATTTTCGTGCTTTTGACAGTGGAAAGCATTTTCGTGTGGTCTCTTCTTGCTTTTCTGAATAATGACAGGACGTCCACATTACACCCACCGTCAGAAAATATCAAGCTATACAAGCTTTGTGCGTCTTTGCTGAACGCGCTTGAAATGACGTCTGTACCTTTGCTGTTGGTTAATATTGCATGTGGTGTTGATATTGTGTATCCTGTACTCGAATCGGAGCATGAGTGGATCATTTTGGTTTCATTTCTTGTGGCATGTTTCAGCAACATTATATTTGGCATTCCCTTCTTCATGATATCGTGGTTTAATACCGTGTCCCAGCCACTTCAAGGTCCTGCTGGTGATGATAACAACAAAGACACAGAGATGCCATTGTGGGTTACAGGCATTCCTTGTGTTATTGGTTTCCTGGTATGTTACTGCTTGACCTTATCGACTCTCCAGAAGACCAAGAAGAAGTTGGCAGAAGGCAAGCAGAGTGCGAAATTTAACCTGTACCAGAGGCTTTTTTGGTTACTATCGCTCTTTGCACTGCTGCTGATTTCAGCCATTCTGATCACAATCATGTTGAAGACCAACAACTTACTCACAGAGTTCAGGAATCTCGGTAGACTCTTTGACTTCTGGTGGTCGTATATTTTCTTTGTGATGTTCGCCGGTGTAGCCTTTCTGTTCAGACCCAGCCATAAATTATACCTTTTGAGCGGTGACAACGAGTTCTCTGAAGACCTAAATGCTGTTCCTGGTGGAAACGATATTGAATTTGACGATCTAGCCAGACTAGAGAGTACTAGGCTGGTAGGTTCTTTTAGCAATTCATTTGACGATTTGCTGGAGTTTGATTTGACTGGGGATGCCCATAAGAACCATCATGCGCAGCGACTCTCGCCTCCTCCCAGTTACGGTGAGCATCACGATGACGAATCAGAGAACTGGCATAGTTCCTCTTAGAGTATTCATTGGGCTTTCAAACTAACTAAACTAAAAAAGAAGTCCAAGTGATTGATAACCTTGTAAATTCTGTTAATGTTAGTGTATGCTATTATATCCGTAGGCGTAAGCAAGTGCGTTGATGTGACGCAGGATTGTGGCCACTGCCAATACCCCGTTGGGATGAGTTACAAAAACACAATACCAGACACTCAAACAGGTGGAGGAAAAAGTTTGCTTTTATGCTTCTATATAATTTTCAATCTCTTTTCCGTATATTTCACCCAATGGTGTTTCCAGGTTCAGAACACGCTGTTGATCGGGTGGATCAATGATAAGGCGGGCTAGAGAAGGGCAAGGAGCGTGATTAGGATAACAAAGTCAGGCAGATATTTTGTTGTGAAAATGTTTTGGAATGCTAACAAATGCATCACTTTCACAACGGTGAATGTGGTCTATGTTCGTAACAGGTGCCATACAAGTCACTTCATCTTTCACTAAGGTAGAAAGCCCCGTCGGATTTAAATGAAGGTATTCTGGTTTATATGGAATTTAATTAAGTTGAAGTTTTAACTGATTTTCAATTGCCTTGTTTGTCTGCTAGACAAGGACACCAGGATATACAGAGGTGTAAGGATCGTCATTCTTTCTCTTCTCATAGTGTTCTGGCTTGAACGTGCGAAGTCCATCATAACCATCTACCATCCCCAAGAAAGGATAACTCAGACTCAATCCCAAAGTTTTCAAGGCAGTCACTGATAATGACTTAAAGTACTCAACTGGAGTACCAACCATGATGTTTTCCTCCTGTCTTAAGATCCCTTGAGTCATGAAAAGGATGACTTGGGTTCTGTATTCGTCCTCTGTGGTGTTAGCAGATCCTCCATGATAGCATGATGCCAACATAAAGAAACAATCACCTTTTGACATCTCAGCGTATACTGCTTCTGAAGCCGTTGGTTTTCTCATATGAGACCATAGATGTGATCCTGGCACAAATCTAGTGGCTCCGTTCGCTTTCGATGTATTTGATAACGCCAATACCGAGCCCAAAGCCGTCTCTGTTCCGTACTCGTAAACATCCATGTGCTTCCTGATGTTATGATGTAACATATCATCTCTGTGCAAAACTTGATCTGGGGCTCCAGGTCCAATCTTGAATGTTATGCACGAGTTATGTTGCGGCGCCGAATATCCAGTGACGACCTCATCTCCAATCCAAAAACAGTTCTCTTTACCCAACAAGGCATCACTGACTGCCAAGTTCAAAGGGTGGCACACAAACTCCTCAGTAGTAACCGCAGACTTCTTACACATACCAGGGACGGTACGAGTTTGACGAGGCAAGAAAGTCCCTTCGAAATCCTTGTCTTGGTCGATGTATTCTTCTACATCTGCAAGGATGCGATCAACTGTTTCTAGAGGTAGGTAGTTCTTGACAATACAACCACCATACTTTTCTAACTTTGCAAGCACTTTTTCAAGGGTTGCTGGTTGTTCAACCGTCAGATCTTGCAGTGTGCACTCCAGTGCAACATCGTCAGACTTCTTAACTTCTGCAACTTTCACACCTTCCTTTTCAACAACTGTGAAAGCACCTTTGGTGAGAGAGATCATAGCTGTCGTTTTCACTGTGTTTAGTCACTGTGGAACAATTACAACTCGGCAAAGCATGTGGAAACCTCTGGTGTATAAATATATCATTTGAAAAAGCGGTGTGTAGATAAGAAATATCCTAACTAGGCAAGTTCACCCCATTCGCTCACAATTTCCAAGTGATTACCTCGCTATGAATTACCGTAGTTCTCAAGATTCTCAATATTTGCAAAAAAGTTACCAAATTATCAGCTGACTTCGCAGATTCAAGATAATTTCAAATTTGCCTTTAGAAGAATATTTTCAACAACAGATTGCCTCTATATTGCGAGCTACATTATGCATATGTGGTTCTTGGGCTTGCAGCTTGTGTGCAGAAGTGAGCCGCACGAATCTGGCGGGGGGGCAGCTCGATGATACATCCATGCATCCATACATCAACACTGGAAGCAACGACAACACAGCATACGTCATGTTTTGATACTCCTTATTGTTTTATACCTCTTTGTTTGCAATTGAGTCCAGGAATATGGCACCGGGGGTTTTCCTTTTTTCTCTTTGTATTTATGGAAAGGTCTCTGCTAAGGATAACATAATTCTTAGTGTTTTAGTAATGACCCGTATAAATGATACAAGACTAAAAGAAAGAAGCAGATGGAGTGAAAGAAGATTGATCAGGACTGATTGTAAGGAGACGACAGAAAGAAAATTAAATTGTATATTTTTATGGAGAGCAATCCTAGTTGGTGAACTCCAATTTTCCGGTCAGCTGGATATCGAGGACACTTTTGCCGACGTATACTGGGTAAGATCCGGCTTGCAAAACCCAGTTCTGAGTAATGACATCCCAAGTGCTGAGGTCACGACGAGTGAGATCAAAAACGTACTCTGCAGACTCGCCAGGTTGAATAGATTGCTTGCCATATCCTCTGAGGACCTTTTTAGGGCCATGAGGAATACCAACGTAGAGTTGGGCAACCTCAGCAGCAGTGACATCGCCAGTATTGGTAACGGTGACCTTGACAGACGCCAGAACATCCCACAAAGATGCAAGCCCACCTTCGAGGACAATATCATCTGGCGGAAGGTAGCTGTGGTTAGAAGTGACCGTCTGGATCTCCAAGTTGGAGTAGTCAAAGGTGGTGTAAGTCAAACCATAACCAAACTCGTAACGAGGAGTCACGTTTCTTTTGATAAAAGACTTGTAGTCAATGTAGACACCCTCGGTGAAATTTGACTGCGGGAAGTAAAGATCAAGGTCACCTTCGGGAGTGGTTGGGTAGAGAAGAGAACCGTAATCTGACTCATTCTTAGCGACAGTGTATGGGAGACGTCCGGATGGTGATTGCTTTCCGTACATAACCTCAACCAGTGCGCGGCCAGTGTCCTGGCCAGGAAGATGAGCCATGATCACTGCAGTGACATTTTCATGGTCGATCCATTTATCAACGAGACGAATTCCTGCGTTGTGGATGACAACTATTGTGTTTGCACACTGGTCGGCAACACTTTCAACTAGGTTGTCGGAATATGGATCTCTAAGGTGTGGTCTGTCATAACCCTCAGTCGACATAGCATTGATGAAAACGATGCAAGCCTCCGAAGCCGGGTTGACAAGAGGCTCAGGAGTGGAAAAGTCCCATGACAGGAAGGTTCCATCCTCGTAAGCCTTCTGAGTGAAGGCATTGAAAGGAGCGTCGATATAAGATGGAGTATTCGAGCCAGATCCGCCACCGGTGTAGAGAGTCCCGTTTAAGGCAACACCTGGTCCCTTTGAACCTGCAGAGTAACTCGACAGGAAAATATCCATCAAAATATCCGGGTCAACAATGGTGCCATTCTCGTATTGCAAGGTGTTTAAGAAACCAAGACTGAAAAGAGAAAGTGATCCCTCACCTTGGTTATTGATTTCGGCAGCGATACCGTCGTAGCCAAACAAAGAGAGGAACTTTGGCTTCTTCAGAGGAAGTGCATTATCAGCATTCTTCACCAAAACGTGTCCTTCAACGGCTCCTTGGAAAATAGTTGACTTGGAGTTTGGATCACGTGCGTCAATAAGTTCATGAGGATCAAGAATACTCACAGGCAAGCCGTGACCTGGGTCGTCCAATCTAGCATACTTGTACCATGCTGCAACAATACGAGTAGCCATGTCATCAAGACGCTCTTGAGATACTGTTCCATTTTTGACAGCTTCGAGTAGACCATCCTCCCAATACACAGAATCTGGCATAGCCATGTCGAGACCAGCGTTGGCACTTGCAATACCAGTGTGCTGTCCGTCCCAATCAGAAACCACAAATCCTTCAAATCCGAGCTCTGTCTTCAAAAGGCCGTTCAAGGTCTTACTGTTTTGACATGCATAACTGTTGTTAATGCGGTTATAAGAGCCCATCACAGAGCCAGCACCTGCCTTGACAGCGTCATAGAATGGCCAAAGATAAACCTCATGCATGGTTTTGTCATCCAGGTTCGAGGAAACAGACTGGTTGTGGAGCTTTGGGGCCAGTAATGGGGGATTTCTGTTGGTTTCTTGTTCGTAAGCAACGAAGTGTTTGACACATGCAATGACATTCTTTTGCAACCCAGAAATAGTTTCAGCGGCCAAAGATCCGGTAAGATATGGGTCACTAGAAAATCCTTCCCAGTTACGTCCACCTGTGGCTAATCTTCCAACTGGTCCAACAACTGGGCCAAGGTGGACATTGACACCTTTGCGTTTGAACTCGGCTCCCATGTAGTAAGCACGGTCATATGCCAGTTGCTTGTTCCAAGCAGCACCCACATGGACACCCGAGGCATAAGAGTTAACCATGTCAGTTCCACGCACACCGTTTCCAGCATCCTGGAAACACATTCCTTCGAATCCCAGGTCAGGCACACCCGGGATCATACCCGAACAGCCAGTGGTTTCTGAAGTATAGCCAAAGGTAAGGTTAACCTTTTCTTCATTGGTCATTTGGGAAACTATCTCGACTGCCTTGTTGTAAGCAAACTCCCAGTTGCCAGACCCGGCCATCACTGGAGAAGGGTATACTGCTTCGGATCTGTTGTAAGACCACCAATGCTCCAAGTTAGCGAGCTCCTTCTCGGAGATGCTCTCTGCCGAAGCAAAACTGCTCAGCCGTGCAACACAAGCTGATGCTGCAAGAATTGATAACTTCATTTGGTCAATTCAATTAAAAAATGCTTAAACCATTGAAGGCAGCCTTCATGGACCAGTGGACTTTGGCCTCGACCTTTATATGCCATTGGGTCACGCAACTTCCAATGCCCTTTTTTGAAAATATTGAAGGCCAACAGAACTGCATATGCCCGACCAATACTTGCATGAATTCTCCAGACAGTCATACGTCTTGACTCTGACAGAGCAGTCTCTTGCAGCTACTTCCCCACTTTTGCAGTGAATACTGCTATACTTGATATTTTCAAACCATTGAATGGGCATTGCGGTTTATAATTACCTTATCATCTCTTCCGCACCTCTTTCAAATTTTTCTGATGTCAATTCGTACTTCTATGGAGGTTTAGCTCCTCGTTTAACTCTTCAAGATCTGCATCGGTGGTCCTCCCGAGTCAATTATTCCGGTGAATTCCGGGGTGCGTCAATGCGGGGACGATTTTGAAACCTACGCTCCGTTTCCAGTAGGGTTTCCGGGCATCAGCTTAATCCGCGAATCAACGAGTAGCTCTGCAGCATCATTTCGGTTAAAAAAGTGAATTTATGATTTCTGCCGACTATAATCATGCACAGCCGCCTTGAAATTCCTCGACCCCACACATGCTTGCTGTAGTGTCAGCGCCAAGTACTCGCATAGTACCTCAACAGACTACCAGATTCGGATAATTTTTTAACTCTCCGGCCCGGCCTGTCGCTCGGAGTGAAAATAATCCGAGGAAGTCCCAAAAAGCAGCATTACTCGGCTCCTGTTTTTGAATTAAGTGGATAATGTAGTGGTCAAGCGTCGCATATTAGTTGTCGTGAAATTGAGCTGTGTTGATGTGTCTGCAGCAACTTCAAAGGCACTGTTAACCAATCTCGGAGAATCTGCTGGGCCTAACCGGTAAACTGCAAATCCCAAATCGGGAATGTCATGTCCTGTTTTGACTAACCATTTTGTGCTCTGATTTTTTTGTTGATCTGATTTGCCTTCCGATAATATTTTGAGTTCTCAGCAACAAAACTAGAGAGAAACGCCGGTTTATACAAAGCCAAGACTGAAATCACAAGCTGTTCATGATTTCCGTTTCTTATGGCACGTGACATGCCGAGTCGTCTTTATGAACTCCTCACCTCAACCCGTAATCTTGATTTCGAGGGAGAGACACGTATTTAGCCGTTTCCATGCTGTATTGTAGTGTTATCGCTGGGCACACCCGAAAGAAACGAATATGAAAGTGTATGGCCATATAGCATGAACGCTGATTAATGCAACTCCGATGGCCCCACATCAACTGATTAGCTGATTAATGCTCTGTTTTGATATCTGAACAAGTAAAACCTTTAAATTAGCCGTATAATTCAAAACTAGAAAAATCCATACATAGAAGGGAGGCATTGGGTTGCTTCTAATCATACCAGAATATGCCTGAAGAATCACCATTGTCTAAACCGTTCCAGCTTGGAAACATCTCCTTAGCCCACAGGGTAGCATTGGCTCCAATGACCAGAATGAGAGGAATCAAACAATCGGGACATCATATTCCTGGAGATTTGGTTGTGGAGTACTACAGACAAAGGTCTTCTGAGGGGGGTCTTCTGATCTCGGAGGGATGTCCGATTTCTGCAGCTGGTGATGGATTTCCAGGTTCACCAGGTATCTATACTTACGAACAAGCTGTTGCGTGGAGACGAGTTACGGATGCGGTTCACAAGGAAGGTGGAAAAGTATACTGCCAATTGTATCACGTTGGAAGGGGAACAGTTGCTCAGATAATAGGTGGAATCCAACCCATCTCTGCGGTCTCAACTCCTATCAGAGGACATTCGTTCGTTCCGGGTATCAGCTTTTCAGACGCGCCTCCGAGGGCCATGATTGGTCCAGACTTCAACGAAGTCCTCCAACAGTTTGTTGCTTCAGCAAAGCTTGCAATTGATGTTGCTAACTTCGACGGCGTTGAGGTGCATGGCGCCAACGGTTACCTTTTGGACCAGTTTTTCCACGACAATGTAAACACTAGAAATGATGAGTATGGAGGCAAGAGGATTGAAGACAGAGCTAGATTTCCCCTTCAGGTTTTAACAGCAGTTATTGCTGCCATTGGGGGTGGTAAGACTGGATTTCGTCTGTCTCCATATAACACCTTCCAAGATACCGAAGATTCCGATCCAAACAGTCATTGGACTTATATTTGTCAACAAATCGCAAACCTAGAGGAGACTGTTTCATACGTTCACATGATTGAGCCGAGGTTTAACGGAAATGTGGAGGAAAACGAGAATAATCGTTTTTCGAAATCACTGGAAAGATCTTTAGTTCCTTTCAGAGATATATTGAAGACTCGAGGAATTGCATTCATCGCTGCCGGAGGGTACAGCAAAGAGGATGCCACACAGAAAGTGTCCGCAGGTGAAGCAGATATCGTTGCATTTGGTAGATACTTCATTTCGAATCCAGACTTGGTTGAAAGGCTTGCAAGAAATCTGCCCTTATCTAAATACGATAGATCTTCCTTTTATGGCGCCGAGTCTCCAGAGATTGGATATACCGACTATCCTTTTTTTGAAGAGCCTGGCTCGAGCAAATAGGAAACAGCTAGAAGACCTGCTTTTTCATGACTAAAGAAATATCTAGACTTCATTTAAAAAACAAAGCAATTACAGTTAAAGGTATCAAACATAATCTCAATGCGCCTTGGCGTGCATGTCCCATGCGTCTCTGCTAAGCCATCTCCGCAACTTCTTCCCTACTTCTGTCAAGTAAAAGCACGAAGTTGCGAATGTGTGTTTAATTCCAAATGTGTTCCATTACCTGTAGAAGCTTCTGATCAATCACAAATTCCATTCTCGAAATCAGAATAATATTTCTGCTTGTACGCACGAGAATTACTGCTGTGCTCATCTCGCATCTCATTGGATATCTTGGCGGGTATTATTGACTCTGCTTTTAGTAGTGTGACGATGAGCGAGTTTTATTCTTCCGATGCAGGCAGCCTTTTGACCCCTATTTCTGCTGATACCTCTCCTTGTCTTGTACTACTTTCTCCCGTCAATATCTTCTGCCCCGCTTCATAAAATGTTGGGGTCCATGAAATCTGCAATATGTTTCCTGCTGGCCTTATCCTTGGCAAATGCAGCTCAGGAACAGCTAATTTTGAGTCCAGGTCAAGCCATTCGGAGTTGCAATGGTGGATACGACAACAATCCTGCTCTGTTTCTGTTGCAGAATCCACACGCATCAGTAAATGTTCGAGCGATAGGCCCCGTTGACGCAAAAGAGTCTAGTGAGTGGGACTTGGAAGTTGCCGTCATCAGTACCTCCGATTTGGATGTAACTGGGTTTACTAGCATATCAGGATGCCCCGTTGGAGGGGCTAAAGAAGATTGTTTTAACCATGTTTCTTTCGACAAGACCTATGACCAGGTCATTTCTGAGAAACTTAATTCAAGCTCTCTTGATGTATTTCAACTCTCTAGCAAGAACGACGATGCCGCCTTCACGCACTTTGTTGACCCTTTGGTAAACTACTGCGTCCTCATTACTTTGAACACTCCTGAAAAGGGTCTTAAATTGCAGGTCGATGTTGACTGGCAACCCCCTTCTGGGCAGTCTATGGAGGACGATTTTTCGAGCATATACACTTACGTGTTTTGCTTCTTGGCTCTTCTCCTCGGTTCCACTGTCTTCTTCCGTTATGTCTTTGTCAAGAACAACTCATTAGCGACTGGTTACAGAACAGAAGTTGATTGGACCGCTCAATTGAAGACCAAAGAAATACAAGCCAGAATATTGGTTGGCCTTGTTGGTTACTCATTGAGCTATTTTTTACATGCCAATGGATTGTTCTGGTCAAATTTATTCGGCTATTCTAGCACCAGCTTTATCGCAATGTTGATGGACTTTTTGCTTGCTGCTACTAATGTGCTTGTCATTATGTGGGTTACTTACAACGGTCTTCTGTTCTCGGCTGGCTATTTGCTTATTCCAAAGTCGGCGACAGGAAAACAGCTCAGCTTCATCAGAGTCCTTACTTTAAGCTACTTCACATCCATCCTGTCTGTCTTCTTGGGCGCAAGCTCCTTGGAGGCACATCCCGTCTTGATTGGCATTGTGATTTTTGTCTCAGGGTTAGGAGCCATCATTGCTTACATCTGTAAGGTTTACTGGTCAATCAGAACCTACTTTCGGTTGCGTTCATCAGGTGGAGTTGAAACTGCCCGTCGGTATTTGGCCACTCTTTCGTTGGGTGTCTTTGGATTTTTTCTAGCTATAGCTGACGCTTATCTGGTCGGCACAGAGACATTAACTGCTCTGCACGCCTTTTTTCTCTTGTTGTTTGGAGAAGTGTGCTCTCATCTTCTTACAGCGTACATATGGAAGGATATTACAATAGAGGCAGAGAAAGTTGATAAAGGAGAGGTTTGACTCCACTTCTATTTTGCGAAATTGTTTTTGCGGGTGTGGTTTTTGCGTGTGTGCTCGCAGCCATTGAAATTTTTTTAACCTCAAGCCTTCCACATTACGGAGCGCTCCCTGTTTTGATAACTCACATGAAAAAATTGATGATGAAATGCTATTGCATTTTCTGTCATCGGCGTGTGAGGCGAATCTAGCAGGACTATGGATCACGCCATCTCGAAATCAAATATATAGATCAAATAAATTTAAAGAATGAGCGTTAGCAGACTACACGAGTAACCATTGCATCAGGCAGATGTTGGTGGAAAGCGAATTCCCACCAGAAGCATCTTCTAATATGACAGCACAAGGAATGAGCGGGGGGAGAAAATGCCTTCCTCTACAAACTAGGCTCGAGAGCTACAGGGAAAGTAGCCATGCGCTACACTACAGACGTTATCGTTTATGATCCAGGCTTCTGTGGAACATAATAGAGCCTCTGCCCTTGCTTGCGGACAACTCCGAACCGTGGTTACAGATTTCAGAAGAGTTAAGCACCAACTGACTAATTCAAGGAGTTAAAAAGAGCTCGGAGAAATTGATTGCTCCAATATCTCCGACATTCGTCCATGGTGGACGACCTGCCTCAATTTACTGGCATCAAAATCGGAGAAATTCCACGGACTAATCACAACTACATTGAGGCTCTGGTATGCACCCCAAGTCTGCGCCCCACATACGTCCAGTTCACACGTGTGAAGCCAGCTTGCAAACCATGTGACCGCGCGACTGGCCTCATGCGCGTTTGCTTTTAGAGATAAAACAAGGCCAAAATATGGTCAAAATCCAGGTTTTCAGATTAACAAGCTTCAAAAGTTGATGTCAGAATTGGTCCCGAATATGTGCTTCATCTCCAAGAATGATTGTCGCAACTAACATCACAGGGCTTCCAGATGCAAGGCATGTCCCTGCATTCTTGCACAGACCCTTTCACGCCTTTTCATTTTCTCTCTTTACCTTTTGTCAGCAATCAACGCTGTGATATACGGATATTAGACTAATCACCAGATATTGCTCAGAGGATTTCGAACATTCCTGTATTACAGCGATGCCTCCTTATGTCCGAAACGGAGCATGCATGAGGATCGGACTAACTACCGGAGATAATTATGATAAGCGCTATGACCATCTATGATTGAAAATAAAAGAACACTGCGCTTTGGAAGTATTATTGTTGGATGTAGCTTTTACTCTAAAGCCATTCATTAGTTAGCAATGGCACTGGAAGAGTCAACGAGTAACTCCAATTTCAAAGAGATGATGGATGAAGGTGAGCTTGAGAAGCAGATGAGCCAGACGGTTGATCATTCGAATACTTCAAACTCAGATGAAGCTGTTCTGACGAGACTTGCAAGTTTTTCCAAACAAATGTCTCACAAGCTGAGCCGGTCACAAACCGGCACGTTTGCTATTGACCCTAACGATTTCGAGCTGCAACGGGTGTTGCAGACTTTTGTTAGGAGGGCAGATTCAAATGGTATAGAGTTAAAATCTCTAGGAGTTGAAATGGATGATGTGACAGTTTTTGGAGTAGATGAGACTGCTTCGTATGCTTCGACCGTTGGCGAAGTATTGACTGCTCCCTTCAGGGTTGGCGAGATCTTTAAAAGGATCTCCGGTAGGAAGGCGGATCCGAACTCAGGATTAAGAAAGGTGAATAAGGATATAAACGTTGTGTGTGCTCCAGGTGAAATGGTATTAGTGCTTGGAAGACCTGGGGCTGGATGTTCTACCATGCTGAAGACAGTTGCTGGTGAATTGGAAGAGTATGTCAAACAGGAAGGTTCAATAACCTACGACAATAACCCCCAGGCTCAAGTTCTTAAGATGTGCAAGAAAGAGATTGTCTACAATCCAGAGCTGGACGTTCATTTCCCCCATCTTACGGTAGATCAAACCTTGAAATTTGCCATTGAGTGTCGGTGTCCTGAGTTTGACTTCCCCGGATACTCCAAGAAGAAGTACATTGAGATTTTCAGGGACATTTTGTGTACCGTTTACGGACTTACCCATGCAAAGAACACAAAAGTCGGAAACGACTACGTCTCTGGAATTTCTGGTGGTGAGCGCAAGAGAGTTTCGATCGCAGAGGCAATGGCCGCTAAACCTGCTGTTCTTTGCTTTGACAATGCAACGAGAGGTCTTGATGCTTCTACGGCCCTAGAGTTCACTGAGGCTCTCAGAACATCAACCAATATCATGAAAATGTCTTCCTTTGTGACCGTATATCAGGCTTCTCAGAAAATTTATGACGAGTTTGATAAAGTCGTGGTTCTGTATTTGGGAAGACAGGTGTATTACGGCAAGGTTGAAGAGGCCAAGGCCTACTTCGAAACCATGGGTTATGTTTGTCCCGAAAGACAGAGCACAGCAGAATTTCTGACTGCTGTTACTGATCCTCTTGGAAGATATGTTAAACCAGGTTTGGAGGGAAAGATTCCACACACAGCAGACGAATTTGAGGCCTATTGGAGATCATCAGCGGAGTTCAGTGCCCTGAAACGCGAAATCGCAGACAGAAGAGCTGTGGTAGACTCCGAAAAGAGCTTAAAGGTAGTAAAGGCAGCTCACCTTCAGGAGAAGGAGAAACTGGCTAGGTTGAACTCGAGATACACCGTTAGTTATCTCACCCAACTGAAACTCTGTACAATCAGAGGTTTCCAAAGAAACATCGGAGACAAAAGTTATACGTTGACCACCATCTTTGCTGGCACTTTCCAGGCCTTTATCATGGGATCTCTTTACTGGAATATTCCTCAATCCACCGAAGGTGCTTTTTCCAGATCAGGTACCGTTTTCTTTGCTTTGCTGTTTTTCGCATTGATCAGTATCTCAGAGGTCTCAGTTTCTTTTGAGAAAAGACCTATTTTGACTAAACAAAAAGGTTACTCCTTCTACCATCCATCAGCTGAAGTCATTGCATATGTATTCAACGACATGCCCATCAAGTTCTTGTCGTCTGTACTGTTTGGAGTGATATTGTACTTTTTGGCTGGCCTGAAACCTGATGCCGGTGCATTCTTCACATTTTTGTTGTTTCTTAACCTAGCGTCGTTGGCTGAAAGCAACCTGTTTCAGACGGTTGCCTCCCTTTCACCTAATGCCCCCGCTGCCAATGCCATTTCCGGTATTTTGTTGCTTGCTACGGCAGTCTACACTTCATACATGGTCCAGAGACCCTCGATGCATCCGTGGTTCAAGTGGATTTCGTACATTAATCCATTGCTCTACTGTTTTGAAGCGTTGATCACAACAGAATTTCATGGAAGGGAAATGGAGTGCTCATCTCTGGCTCCAAGTGGACCGGGTTACTTGAACGTACCAGAAGGAACTCAGGCATGTGCCTTTGCTGGCTCCGTTGCTGGTCAGTCCTGGGTATCTGGAGATGCTTATTTGAGAGTATCTTTCCAGTATGAGTTTAGCCATGTCTGGAGAAATTTTGGCATCGTGTTGGGTTTCATTGTCTTCTTCATTGCTGTTAACTGCTTTGCTGTTGAACTGCTCAAACAAAGCAAAGGGACTGGCGATCATCTGATGTTCTTGAGAAGCAAAACACGCGGTGACATCCACGATGTTGTTGCTGCCACCAAGGAGAGCAAACATGTTTTGGTTGCCGATGTGGAAACTCAGGGTTTGTCTCAAGGATCTGTGGCTGATGAGCTTGAACGTTATTCTCGAGTCTCTGGTGATAAGGAAGCAAAGGAGACTGCTAATCATTTGGGCAGTCAGGAGGTGTTCATGTGGCAAAACCTCAATTATACCATTCCTGATCGGGGATCTACTCGTCAGCTTCTTCGCGACATTCAGGGCTTCTGTAAACCGGGCACTCTGACTGCTCTGATGGGTGAGTCTGGTGCCGGTAAGACCACCCTGCTCAATGTTTTGTCAAGAAGAGTGGACATGGGTGTTATTACTGGTGATATGTTGGTTGACGGGAAACCGATTGACCAGTCTTTTGAGCGTCGTACCGGTTACGTTCAGCAGCAGGATTTACATATTAGCCAATTGACTGTGCGCGAATCACTTCAGTTTGCTGCTCGTCTAAGAAGGCCTGTTTCTGTTCCCGAGCACGAGAAAATGGAGTATGTGGAAAAGATACTTCAAATCTTGGAGATGGAACCTTATGCGGATGCAATAGTGGGCAGCCCCGGAAACGGGCTGAATGTGGAACAACGTAAGAAGCTATCAGTTGGTGTGGAACTTGTAGCCAAGCCTTCTCTGTTGCTTTTTCTGGATGAACCGACTTCAGGTCTGGATTCCCAGTCTGCATGGGCTATTATACAAGTTGTGAGAGGTTTGGCTAATGCCGGTCAAGCCATCTTATGTACTATTCACCAACCTTCTGCTACTCTGATGGAAGAGTTCGACAGACTATTGTTGCTGAGAAAAGGCGGCGAGACAGTATATTTTGGGGACATTGGGGAAAATTCCAGGATCATGCTGGACTACTTCGAAAGTAGAGGAGCCCGACTTTGCGAACCCCATGAGAATCCTGCTGAGTATATATTGGATGTCATTGGAGCAGGAGCAACTGCCAACAGTGTCGATGATTGGCACGAGAAATGGATCACATCTCCGGAATTTGCGAACGTAACCAAAGAAATTGAGGACTTGATCCGCGAAACTGCAAAGAAACCGGTGAATTTTACTGAAGAGAGTCTGAAGGATACGTTTGCAACTCCATACATACACCAGCTCAAAACCGTGTTATGGAGGACCAATATCCAATTCTGGAGAGATACTGATTACTTCGTGGGTAAAATTAGTTTGGTCATTATAGCTGGTCTCTTTGTGGGGTTTACCTTTTGGGATATCAAACATTCAATTGTGGGAATGCAGAACACATTGTTTGCGTCTTTCCTTTGTCTGATTCTGTCATCGCCCCTCACTGCTCAGATACAGGATAAGGCTATTGAGAGCAAAGAGGTTTATGAAGTCAGAGAGTCAAAATCAAACACGTTCCATTGGTCTGTGCTTCTGTTCAGCGAGCTATTGGTTGAGATTCCATACAGCATCATTGCTTCAACGTTGTTTTACATTTGCTTCTATTTTCCATTGAAAACTGTGTCGACAGCACCTGAAGCAGCTGGATTTTTCTGGTTCACGTATTGTGTGTTCTTCCAGCTTTACTACATCACGTTAGCCTTGTGCATCGTTTACTTTGCCCCAGATCTACCAAGTGCGGGACTATTATTCGGCCTATTTTTCTCGTTTATTTTGTCCTTCTGCAATGTCGTTCAGCCATCATCGTTAGCTCCTGGGTTTTGGAAGTTCATGTTTGATCTTTCGCCGTTCACATATTTTGTGCAAAACTTTCTTGGAGTGGTGCTCCACGAGCGCGAAGTTCACTGCAAACCATCTGAGCTAGCATATTTCAATCCACCGGATGGGGAAACATGCCAGGAATGGGCAGCAGACTTCCTGCGTACCGTTCCTGGATACCTAATCAACGGAAATGAAACACAGGACTGTGGCTACTGTCAGTACTCCGTTGGGGATGATTACTTGCAAAAACTCGGTGTCAGATACTCAAATAGATGGAGAAACGTTGGGTTTTTCTGCTGCTACATATTCTTCAACCTATTTGCCATGTATATTATGTACTGGTATTTCCGGGTGCAGAAGACGTCGTTGATTGAATGGATCAGAAATAAGACGGATCAGAGAAAGGCTAGACAGACGTCTAGAGAATAGGACGCTATAGTAGGCTAGAAATTTATCTGCAAAGATACTACTGAGTGATAACTAATATGATAATTTGACCATTTCATAATGTCAAAATACATCTTTTGTTGTGAAAACGGTTGAAGTATTCTAACTCGCTGACAGATGCTGTAAAAATCTCTTACAAGAACACTGAATTTCCCAAACTTTCTCAAATCAATTTACAGAAAGGCCAATTGCTAAACTTACCTGATGCGATCCTTTCACATTTAAATTTCGCTCTTGAAATATCTCTTTAAGTAAGCAATTATTACTATATCGAAAATTATCCCCTTATTGTGCATGAACGGTTTAAGCTCTTGCAGCTTGCGTCAAGAAGCACAAATTATGATGAACAATTTGAAAATATACCCCATCAATACTGGTAGCAACTGCAGGACATCATCCGTTATGCATGTCATTCAATTACGAAGCAGTGCAGATATGGCACGGAGGTTTTCAATTTGAATTTTTGGTGTTTTTGAAGCATGAGTGAAAAGTTTCTTTTTCAGATATGATGGTCGACGTTCTATTAGTGACATAAAAAAATCAGACTTATAGTAAAACAGTTCAAGAAACTGGATTTGAAGTACTTCAGCCAGAGCTGATAGTGAGGAGACGGAAGAAAGAAAATTAAATTGTATATTTTTATGGAGAGCAATCCTAGTTGGTGAACTCCAATTTTCCGGTCAGCTGGATATCGAGGACACTTTTGCCGACGTATACTGGGTAAGAGCCGGCTTGCAAAACCCAGTTCTGAGTAATGACATCCCAAGTGCTGAGGTCACGACGAGTGAGATCAAAAACGTACTCTGCAGACTCGCCAGGTTGAATAGATTGCTTGCCATATCCTCTGAGGACCTTTTTAGGGCCATGAGGAATACCAACGTAGAGCTGGGCAACCTCAGCAGCAGCGACATCGCCAGTATTGGTGACGGTGACCTTGACAGAAGCCAGAATATCCCACAAAGATGCAAGCCCACCTTCGAGGACAATATCGTCTGGAGGAAGGTAGCTGTGGTTAGAAGTGACCGTTTGGATCTCCAAGTTGGAGTAGTCAAAGGTGGTGTAAGTCAAACCATAACCAAACTCGTAACGAGGAGTCACGTTTCTTTTGATAAAAGACTTGTAGTCAATGTAGACACCCTCGGTGAAATTTGACTGTGGGAAGTAAAGATCAAGGTCACCTTCAGGTCTGGTTGGATAGAGAAGAGAACCATAATCTGACTCGTTCTTGGCAACAGTGTATGGGAGACGTCCGGACGGTGACTGCTTTCCGTACATAACCTCAACCAGTGCGCGGCCAGTGTCCTGGCCAGGAAGATGAGCCATGATCACTGCAGTGACATTTTCATGGTCGATCCATTCATCAACGAGACGAATTCCTGCGTTGTGGATGACAACTATTGTGTTTGCACACTGGTCGGCAACACTTTCAACTAGGTTGTCGGAATATGGATCTCTAAGGTATGGTCTGTCATAACCCTCAGTCGACATAGCATTGATGAAAACGATGCAAGCCTCCGAAGCTGGGTTGACAAGAGGCTCAGGAGTGGAAAAGTCCCACGACAAGAAGGTTCCGTCTTCATAAGCCTTCTGAGTGAAGGCATTGAAAGGAGCGTCAATATAAGCAGGAGTATTCGAACCCGATCCACCACCAGTAAAAAGAGTTCCATTATATGCAACACCTGGTCCTGTCGAACCGGCAGAATAACTCGACAGGAAAACGTCCATCAAGATATCATGGTCAAGAATGGTGCCATTCTCGTATTGCAAGGTGTTTAAGAAACCAAGACTGAAAAGAGACAGTGATCCCTCACCTTGGTTGTTGATTTCGGCAGCGATACCGTCGTAGCCGAACAACGAGAGGAACTTTGGCTTCTTTAGAGGAAGGGCACTATCGACATTTTTGACCAAAACATGTCCTTCAACGGCACCTTGGAAGATCGTTGACTTGGAGTTTGGATCACGAGCATCAACAAGCTCATGAGGCTCAAGAATGCTCAAAGGCAAGCCGTGACCTGGGTCGTCGAATCTAGCAAATCTGTACCACGCTGCAACGATACGAGTGGCCATGTCGTCAAGACGTTCTTGAGACACAGTTCCATTTTTGACAGCTTCGAGTAGACCGTCCTCCCAATACACAGAATCTGGCATAGCCATGTCGAGACCAGCATTGGCACTTGCAATACCAGTGTGCTGTGCATCCCAATCAGAAACGACGAATCCTTCAAATCCGAGCTCTGTCTTCAGAAGGCCGTTGAGGGCTTTACTGTTTTGACAGGCATAACTGTTGTTAATACGGTTATAGGATGCCATCACAGAGCCGGCACCTGCTTTGATTGCATCATAGAAAGGCCAAAGATAAACCTCATGCATGGCTTTGTCATCGAGATTCGAGGAGACAGACTGGTTGTAGAGTTCTGGGGCACGAAGAGGGGGGTTTCTGTTTGTTTCTTGTTCGTTAGCAATGAAGTGTTTGACACATGCAATGACATTCTTTTGCAAACCAGAGATAGTTTCAGCGGCCAAAGATCCGGTTAGATATGGGTCACTGGAAAATCCTTCCCAGTTACGTCCACCTGTGGCTAACCTACCAACTGGACCGACAACTGGACCAAGGTGGACATTGGCACCTTTGCGTTTGAATTCTGCTCCCATGTAGTAAGCACGGTCATATGCCAGTTGCCTGTTCCAAGCAGCACCCACATGGACACCCGAGGCATAAGAGTTAACCATGTCAGTTCCGCGCACACCGTTTCCAGCATCCTGGAAACACATTCCTTCGAATCCCAGGTCAGGTACACCTGGGATCATACCACCACAGCTAGTGGTTTCTGAAGTGTAGCCAAAGGTGAGGTTAACTTTTTCTTCATTGGTCATTTGGGAGACCATCTCGACTGCCTTGTTGTAAGCAAACTCCCAGTCGCCAGACCCGGCCATCTCTGGAGAAGGGTATACTGCTTCGGATCTGTTGTAAGACCACCAATGTTCCAAGTTAGCAAGCTCCTTCTCGGAGATGCTCTCTGCCGAAGCATGGATGGTCAACCGTGCAACACAAACTGATGCTGCAAGAATTGATAACTTCATTTGGTCAGTTCAATTGAAGATTGCTTGAACCATTAGAGGCAGCCTTCATGGATAAGTGGACTTTGGCCTCGGCTTTTATATGCCATTCGGCCACCCAAATTCCAATGCCTTTTTTCGAATATTATGAAGTTGCCAACAGAACTGCATATGCCCGACCAATATTCGCATGAAGTGTCCCGAATAGTCACAGCTTTTGACTTGGCAGAACAGTCTCTAGTTTTTTTACAGCAACTACGCTTCCCACCTATATTTCAACAGCTGCCATATTTAATATGCTCGAACTATTGAGTGGTGGTTGCATTCATCAATTTCCTTTTTCAATCAAGTATTTGTTGAAAAAACTTTAATGCCAGTTTGCAATGACACTTCCATGTCGGGTTAATCCGTCATTCCGAGTTCGCCCTCGGGGAGGGGGGGGGGTCTGAATCGGTGGTGCCCCGAGACAATTTTTCCGATGAATTCCGGGGTGCGTTAATGTGGGGTCGATCCTGAAACCAACTCTCCGTTTCCTTTATTATTTGAGAGCATCTCCTTATTCCACGAATCAAGGCGCAGCTTTGCAACTTTGTTGCTGTTATAAAAAGAAATTTATGGATATCTAGTAACTGACGTCATGCGCAGTTCCCTTGAGTCTCCTCGAGTCTCCTCGACCGCACATATGCTTACCGTAGTGCATGCGCCAAGTATTCGCCAAGTACCTCAACGGACGACTAGATTCATAATTTTTTTGAACACTCCAGCCCGGTCTGTCATTCGGGGTGTATGAAACTTACAAAATGTTCCCAAAAACGCTGGTCGGCTTTTAATTTTAAATGTAGTGGGAATTTGTCGCTCCGTAAACAGTCTTTAGGTTGGGTTAGCAGCGCCTAAAGGGTGGTTACCCCATTCGGTCCTGCACATTTCCATAAACGAGTTTTGCCAATTCCGACGAGTCAAAAGAGGTATGATCGGCAGTGTCCATTTGGTCTGCCGCGCCTTACTGGCTTGCAATACGGATGAAATTATGGAGAAATGTTTCTCCGGGCTCGTACAGGCAGTGCCAGGTTTATATGTGTGTATCTAACTGTTTACACAAAACTGGTAATTCTCCAAGATGGATTATGCATGTCTATGGCCTTTCCTGTTGGTTGGGGATACAGCGGACCATCCTGTTAGGAGATTGAGTTCCTCGGATCGAACTCAACTACTCTGGAGATTTCTCCGCAAATGCAGTGCCAAGATCGCATGCACTTCGTGATGATCCAAATTCACTCTGCTCACCTCTGCAAGATGTTTCTTCCCCTGGGTCCACTTTGGGAAAACGTGTGATTTTTACCTTCGCTCTTATCGTACGAGCGAACTACTGTTTTATCCAATCCTCGGGTGTAATAGATTTTGACGGCAATTTTTCTTGGTGAATTTGTGCCCGTAATGTATATCGTTGAAGAGCCTAACCTATACGTGCGAGAATTCACCTGACTGGCATCCGACAATCCAAAACAAAGGCTGCCAGCCAAAGATTACGAGGCACCTGATATGAGCTCTGGGTTTGAGTAAGATATTCCTTTGGAATTTGTACGTGTGGGATTTCCGGTCTATGCCTTCCCTGTGAGTGTCCACGTTGCCATTTTTCTAGTGGGTAGGTAATTCATTAGATCTGCAAAATAAAGCAGTCCGAAACATTCACGTATATTTGAGACACGAGTGGATCCAAGCTACTTACCCAGTCTAAATTCCAATTGACGACTTCGTGGAAGTAAGGTGAGACTTCATATCCATCAATGCCAGCCACAACCTGGCGATAACCAAGACTTCGAATGGACATGACAGAGAAGATTAACTGGAAATCGCAATTGACCGACACCTATCCATCCAAAGTGGCACCCGCCATCACTAACCATTAATTCTATGACATCGAAATATTCGCTGTCTGGTTCAAGCCGTTCCATCTTCTGCTCCTTTCACTCTCTGGTCAGTTCACGACTAATCAAATCTTGCGGCTTAGTAATATTTGACACCCTGCAGATACCCATTCCCCTGCTACAAGTCTCTTCTTCATCCTCGAAAAAGTAAGAATTTAGAACTTCAAACTATGCGAGCCGTTTCGATTAAAAACGGGAAGGGGCCTGTGGATGCTTTATATATTGATGACTCTGTTTCCGAGCCAGAGCTGAAGAATGGTGAGGTTTTGATCCGAGTAAAAGCGTTTGCTCTCAATCGGATGGATCTGATGCAAAGAGAAGGTAAATATCCAGTCCCGGCAGGAACATCTTCCATTCTGGGAGTTGACTATTCGGGAACGGTTTTGAAAATCCCTCCTGGAACAAAGACTCCTCTGCAGGAAGGCGATGATGTGTTTGGACTTGTTAAAGGGGGCGCGTACGCAGAATTGCTCGCAGCCCCTGTTGAGACCATATTTTTGAAGCCCAAGGAATTATCACATGAGGTGGCAGCATCTATTCCAGAAGTATGGTTTACAGCAACGCAGGTACTTTTGGAGGTTGGGGAGTTCAAGAATGGCGAATCCCTTCTTTTCCACGCCGGGGCCAGTGCTGTAGGCATCGCCGCTATTCAACTCGCTCAATTGCACAACGCAAAGTACGTTTTTGCTACGGTTGGATCAGATAGCAAAAAAGAGGCCGTCAAAAAGCTCCAGCTAAAGAACAGCCCGACAAAGATTATTCCGATCAACTATAATTCTGAAGAGTTTGTGGATGTAATCAAGGAGAACTCTCCCGAGGGAGTCGATGTGATTATTGATCCGGTTGGAGGAATTTACTTCACAAGAAATGTATCTATTCTCAAGCTAGATGGGCGAGATGTTGTCATGGGTAGTATGACTGATACGAATGTTAAATTCGATCTTCTCGCCGTAATGCTGAAACGTTTGCAAATAAAGGGCACAACGCTGAGATCTAGACCGCTAGCTTATCAAGGAAAGATTGCGGATATTGTCAAAGCTGAGATTTTGCCAAAGATAGTTTCTGGTGACCTGCTTCATCCTATTGAGAAGGTCTTCAAACTTGAAGAAATCGTTGAGGCACATAAGTTGATGGAAAGTAATAAGACAACCGGCAAGATTGTGGTTACCATTCCTTGACTCTTCGAAGCAGATGATTTTCCTGGAAAAGGAAAAACAAACGCTTTCGTACAATCAGCCAACACTTTTTTTTATTTCGAGTACTACAAGTGAAGGCCTTTTGGTACAGGGACAATGAACTCAATAGACGGCATTATTGTGCCTTCTTTCGCATCCTATTGATTGCAGGATGGGAAAAACAAAAGTAGGTGCTCAAGAGAACCCGAAACCATACGCGACTATCCCGATTCAGTCTGTGGCAGGTTTTTTCGATCTCGCCACGATAGCATTGCTGATCTTTCGAAATCCGAAAGCCTGATCGATCAAAAACTTGTACAAAGAGTCTGGCAAGAAAGTGGTAATATAATAAGCAGGGACGGCCGCATATCCTTCGTAAACCTTCCAAGTTCTGCTGAACCGAGGACGATTCAAGACTTGTTCAACGGTCCTTTTTGCGTAAGTAGCAACATCCATTAAGGTATTTCCTTTTTCGTCTCCTATGAACGATTTCAAGAATTTCAGGGTTTCGGGGAGATAGTAACGGGATTCTGGACCTAATGGATTTGTAATCGGCTCAATTCCAGTTTCTACGCCACCAGTGACAACGTTTACCACGGTAACACCGAATGGCCTCATTTCAGTCTCGAGTCCATCTGCATATCGATCAACGGCTGCTTTGGTGGCACCATAGATGGCAAAGAAGGGAATTGTCAATACTCCTGCTGTTGAACTGGTAAACGCAATAGTACCCTTTGCCTTAATCACCAACGAGCTAAATTCCCTGCATGTACGGACGACACCAACAAAATTCACGTTAATGGATTGCAGTAAAGCTTCCTCAGAAATTTCTATAGCTGGAGCCGTCGGTGCTGATAGATGGAGAGGTCAGAATAAAATCGAAATCCATCAAAGTTCCTTTGCTTTTGACTTACCAACACCTGCGTTGTTGTACAACAAATCTAGATATCCACTGGTTTGACTTGCAATAAAATCTCTGCATTGTTTAACACTTTCCACGGATCCAACGTCCAGTTGGAGAGGAATAATCCCATATTTCTTTAACGATTGCATCTTGGATACTCCACGAGCACCTGCGAAGACAGTAAAGCCTCTTTCAGCCAACTCAATGGAAATTGCATACCCAATTCCTGAAGATGCTCCTGTTACAAATGCGTATTTGGGTCTGTTCTGTTCCTCTGACATATTTTACTTTTGATTGTCGTTTAGTCTGTAACCTGGCAAAGTTTTGATATGAACAAAGAGTGGGGATTCCTTTCAATCTTTATACTTTGCGCCTTGGTCATCTACCTGAGGAATGCGTATTGAGAATTCTCCGAAAATCACGCATAGCATGGCGGAGATAAGCAATCTCCGTAAACAATTCAAGAGAGTAAGTAAAGAAGTGACTTTTGATGCGGTGACAGATTCGACTTTCGTGTAGTTAGCCGAATCATGAGCGCTTGTGGGAGCGGCGAGTTGAAGCTACAAGCAAATTGTCTGGCTTTCACGGTTAAGGCTATTGCAAATTTATAATCACTCCGCATGATAAAAGAGATGTTAGTGTTCCGCCTTTCATATCTTCAGCCCTGATAAGTGATTGGATCCCACCAAGGGGAAGTTAACAAGTATTCGTCCTTGAAAGATTCCAACTCTTCTTTTGACAATTCAAAATCATCGACTTGGAGGTTTTCTAATTGCCTGGCTTGTGTACTAGACTTGACAAGTACGATGTTACCCAGTTGCAATGACCATTTGATCAAGACCTGGGCTGGAGTTTTGTTGTATTTTTTGGAAAGCTTGAGCAATTGTGGATCATCGAACTTTTTTCCTTGGGTCAGTGGTGACCAAGCTTGGATCTCAATACCCAGACTGCGATCGTACTTTACCTCATTTGGACGTTGATTCCATGGGTGAAGCTCAATTTGGTTGACTGCGGGCAGCACCCTGAGACCCTCCCAGTCTTGGAGCTCCTTGATATGATGATTGCCGTAGTTCGAAACCCCAATGGATTTGATCAACCCCTTTTCGTTGAATTCTTGAAACGCCTTCCAGCTTCCCAGCCTTTTCTCCTTATTGGTCATAGGCGAATGTAACAAAATCAGGTCCAAATATTCCAAGCCTTCTATCTTCTGCAAGGATCCATTGATGCTCTCAACGACTTCGTCGTAGCCTTCTGGACTCCTAACCTTCGTGGTCAAAAAGACATCAGATCTCTTACCATGCCCCTCTTTCAGCCATTTCAAAATACCTTGGGCGGTTTCATATTCGTTTCCGTAAAATTGAGCTGTGTCGATGTGCCTGTAGCCAACTTTCAAGGCACTGTAAACCAATTCTGCAGTATCTGCAGGGTCTACTTGGTACACTCCAAAACCCAACTCGGGAATATCGTATCCACTATTTAACTTCACCATACTAAACTCTGTTGTTTCTGTTCAATTCAATTCAATTGATATATCTTGAGGATACTGAGGGTTTCTGGATGGTGGTGGATGGTGGTGGATGGTGGTGAATGATGCCGGACTATTTCTGTGGAAACATGAGCGGGTTTATATAAACAGTCGTTATTTCCGTTTTCTCCGTTTTCTCCCCGGCACGTGACGACTTAATAGGAATACATTCTGGGATCAATCTTTGCTCCTCAAGGTAGTGATTTTGTTTCGAAGCATTACTAATGCATCATGGTGACGCAATAGAGTGTGTAACCGACATCAGTTTGGTTGCTGATTAAGGCTCCGTTCTGGCATAAGCTCCAGTAAATTGAAAAGAAGCCTCGACATTTAAGTAGAGAGCAAGTGAGCCTAAAAGAGAGGCATCGACACAAGAGATAGCAATGTCAAAGCAAAGCTGCCTTTATCTCACCTCTCAAAGGCGATATTTCAGCTTGGCTAGTCGTTATTGGCTACTCTTGAACAAAGCTGTCTTCCGTAGTGTCTTTTGCTACGACTACTGTCCCCGGACATAAATACCACGTAATTACCAGCCGGGGCCGAAAGGATCAATTAAACTCAAGGTTCAACTTTGCGTGGTTCTCGCCGTTACAGCACTTTATCTCACACCCACGCTTATAATCGTGGAATGTCAGAAACTCTGGAAGGGCACATCGTGTCGGGCCATGCGTATGCACTTCAAAATGTACTTCTAAGCAGCTGTGAATCCCAAAAGGTACATGACAGTTACAACCGGCAAGTAAGCCGCGCGGGCTGCGCTGGCTCCTCATCAGGCGTAAAATTCTACAAAACAGAAAATTTGCCAATTTGGCTTGTACCTGAAGAAATTATATAAAAAGAAAAGCAAGCACTTGCAAATGTGTTATTGAAATAGGTAAACGCTAAACCTTTTCCTCTTCACCGTTTGAGATGTAAGCTTCTAGACCTCTTTTCCCAATGACATCCTCAAGGGTTTCATCACTGAACTTAAGATCTTCCTCGATGGCTGTAGATTCTTTAACCTTCAAGAAGACGATAGGAACTGCCAATAGGATTCCAAAAGCAAGAAGAGCCCACGAAGTTCCAAAAATTGCATGATATTCGACAAGCTTCCAATCCATACAGAAGACGATAATACCTCCAACGCATTGCATGCCCTTGTAAAAACCAGCAAAGATAGCAAGTTTTCTGGCATTATTTGTCAATGATCCAATCAGCCAGTAGCAAAATGTTTGGTACATTGCATCATATACACCGTAGAACATGAACAAGAACATTGGCCCAATGTAGCCGGAGTCAGACCAATCCATAACGGTCAACTTTCCTGACTTTACTTCTGCACGGGTGTAAGACTTGGCATATGCCCAACCACCTCCCCAAATGGCCATGGTGATGACAAACAAGAAAATAACTCCCACTTTGGCTCTCATGCGCCTGGTGAGATAGCTCCAATCCAAGAGGTATCCAATAATGAAGGAGCCAAACATTTGGCAGAACCAGTACAGAAGGTTGTTCAAAGCTCTTGTTCTTGTGCTAAACCTTGCAGCATTGACGTCGTTAAACTGGTACGTGTAGAAAAAGTTGGAAGCAAGGAACAAAGGAAACAGAGCGATGATATAAGTATCGGTGTGGAACACACTTGCAAACCCTTGAATTTCCGACCTCCAGGATGGATTCTTTTGAATAATGACTCTAGTTCCATCAGACTTGATAACCTTACCTGCGGGCAACAGACACATACCAAGCAACGCACCCACAGCCATGAGGGCTATGAAGGCCGCATAGGTTCCGTCTGCGACAACTTTAGCCGTTGTGACATGAATGTTGTTGGCCAAGGGAATGATAGAGCCAATGACAGCACCTAGGTTGAAGATGATCCAAAATACAGAAATATACAGTCCCTTGTGGCTTTCGATAGGATAGGACATCATGACTGTTCCCTGCGCACTCCATAAGAAGTTACAGCACGCACCTAGCAAGACACCTCCAAAAATAACGAACCCAATGTTGTGGGTATGGTTATAGCAGAGAAATGCAGCCGCATAAACCGAATATCCAATACCACCTAATGCCATCGTCTGGTTTACACCAAGCCTATTGCAGATTCCTCCATAGAAGAACCCAAGAATAGACACGCACGAAAAGGCGATACCTGCAATGTTCGATGTTGAGGCATCGATTCTACCACCACCCTATTGATCTTATGTTAGTTCGGCAACTGCTTGATACAAAAGAATTACTTTCAACTTACACCCATACCAGACAAGGCGTTATGAATTCCCGGACATAGGAAACAAATGAAAGACGTCATCAGCAACTGGATAAAGGCCGAATTGTAGGGGGGAAACTTGTACGAGCCAATTTGGAGTCTCTTCGTATACCAGCCGTTATTCTCCTCAGTTATTGCGTAAATGTCAAAGTCCTTGGCATAACTGTCAACATTCTTGGCGTCCTTGGCAGAGATTTCTTCGATGATCTCGGATACATCCGCTGATTTGGTTTCACTTTCGGGCATATTGCTTATCGTTTGGGGATCAGGTTATGGCTGGCTTGTTGATCAAAATAACAGACGAGAAAATGTGAACAAGACAGAGTTGTGCACCCATATATATATGCGTAGGATTATTATCACGAGGATAGGTTTTCCCTGTCTCAATTGAGACTGGCATTCTTTCTGTTATCAGTTGACGAATTTGACAATCAGATACGGATTTCTGACTCGAGTGGTATCAAGATAGTACTGAACCAGCGGAATAAAATCCCGAAAATACACGAATTCGTAGCTAGCTTGAAACTCGAATGCTAACGACGAGTGATTACCAACACGAATATCTCATACCGCTATTCTTGCTATACAATCAGTGGATTTTTTTCCCGAGAATACCAGCTAATTGCATGAGACGTTCCGTCTTCCAGGGTTGTGCTTTATGCAACAACCATTTAATCGTGTCACTGCAGGAACGAATACTTTATCACGTTCCCAGTTGCTGGACTTCCTGTGATAGCAGAGTTCCCGTGTTTTCAGTGCTACTCAAATGTATACTCCCGGATACAGAGAGATTTAAAGTCATATTTTGGAGCACCTAGCATGCCTTATCATGACACAATTGATAGGAGCTCCCTGCATACCCTTCGTCATAATCATGCGTTCAGCATAGATTACTCCAGCGGAATGTTTTTAGGGTTTCAACACGACTCCTACCGCATTAGTCTTCATATGTCATGCAGATACATGGCCCAGATAGGAAGGAAAGGGGCACTGGCTAATCGGGACATATTCATACAAGTGTGTGTTCGCATGTTTTTTGAAAACATCAAGTAGTGGCTTAATATAAAAAATACGAAATCTTCAAGCCGACCCAAGGTTCCTAAAAATTTGACCCGTGGGAAACTCTCCGTAATGCAGATCTCGTGCGGTGCAGTATTACTGTACAGTGAAGCACGCGGATAGCGTCATGTATGCGGGCTTAGTTTTCCGTGCCTGCCTAAACCTAAGCAAGGTGACCGATTCAGGTTTTAAAGATATCTCCGATAACAAAAAATGAAGTGTTTTTCCTGTGCAATGCTGTCAATTTATAGGACGAGAGTAGATGCCTTCCCTAGACTTTTTTTTTGCTCACATAATGCGACGGGGGATGAGAGAGAAGGAGATTTATAATTGCCTTTTAATAGCTTTGATGTTTCCCATTTGTTTCGAGAGATTGGCTGAGATTTGGTGGATTGACTTATTCAAGGCTGTGTAGATGCGTTAGGCATGATCATCTGTTTTGACTTTTGTTGAAAGACATTTAATTTAGCTTGAACATTGGGAGGAAAGAGTGGTGGATATTCTTAGTGCTGATTTGTTATATTTGAACATTCGTCACAAAATCTGTATGATTGAGAGAAATAGTGATGGGGTGGGGAGGGGTCAAGCACCTTACTGGCGTAGTAAGTATTTTTCAACTTTGTCAACTTTTTTGGAAATTACCCAATTCCTTTCCTCGTGGTCCGAAGGGGAATGGTAGAGAGACGGAATTATAGATTGATTAGTGTATATGAGAGCGAACACGTGCAAATAAGCTCGCCTCTTCCTAGGTATGGCGATATTTAGCAAGATGTATCAGCGTACGAAAAGGGGTCTTCCTAGCTGAACAAAATGACAGTGATATGCTGTTGCATTCTTTGACATGACCACGAAAGTCAACGCTGACAGGACTATGGGTTTTCCTAACGCCAAAGCAACTAAATAAGACAAAGAGACTACCGTGATGAACAGTAGCACTTCCTGCAACATCATAGTTGGACCACGAGAGGATTATAATAACTTCACAGACTGTACTGACGGTTTTAAATTTTCAAAATAACTACCGGTTAGGTAGCAGTGTAATACGTCTGTATCCTTTACAAAAACTTTTTGATACCTCACAGTCTTCTGAAGTAGAATCAATGCAGTAAGTAACACTAAATTATACCACCAATCAAACATTAAACTCCACTATGTTGGATCATTCTCCCTTCAAAACCTTCTCCGATTCTAGAATGGTATCTTTCCACAAAAAGGCTACCAATAGGGTAGCTACCAAATGAACAAAGTGTCTGACAAATTTGGACTTTTCAATTCTCCAAAGCAGACTTTGTGGATGATTGGCACTTGCGTACAGATCAAACAGAATTGCCAATAGTATCAGTGTCGCCGTTGCGAAAAATCTGTTTGCAGCTGAGTTTCTTCCATGTGAGCATAATTCAGAATATGTTTTGACCGAGAAGTAGGAGCCAGGGATGAAGCAGACCAAATATTGTAACACAAAGAGCATTTCCATCATTTCTGAGAGCATTCTTTCTACCACTGGCTGATGGTGAAAGTATGTATCTTGAATAGCGGATATTGAGCCTCTTGTAACAGTGCAAATGGTCACCCACCTTATAAACCAAAGAAACCGTTGATCTTTTGACCCCAAAGTAAAACGATAGCCCGCCGAAATCAACAGCAAGTTGTACAAAATCCAATTGTAGAACACTGTGGCCAAAACTTGTGACGCAAATTCTAGCAAGGTTCCTGTGATGTTGGGATTGTAGGGGTCATCCATATTCAGCTGGTAAAGATGGCTAGGCGCTGACAAATAGTATAAGGAGTTTCCTAACATGTGCATCATGATCCGAAGTTGAATCCCCCCGTTTTTCAATCTTTGTTTCGGACCAGTAGTAATATAAGGACACTGCTTGGGTTTCTGCCTTTGAAAAAGGCATGATAATAGTACAAGGCGGAACTGATCACGTAGATGAGACTAATCGCAAAGTAAATGTGCATGGACCTGTAATTTTCTCTTGTCAACTCACCATAGGAATCTCGAAAAGCTATGTCAACTTGTGCAAATGCGCCCCCTTTGGGACCGTTAAAAGATGCGATGATGCAGTAGTTTCCTGGGGATACAAGAGGGTGTTGACCGATGCGGTTTTTAAAAGAGAGAGTGAAGGATGAAATCAAAGACTGATTCAGCTTTTGGCCGGAACCTCACCCAGACTGTATTGTACAACTTCCGGATTATCGGCTATATCAGGGTTGGTGATATGAGAAGACGCAGAGCCTTCGGAGTGGGATGACAACTTAACAAGCGTCTCTACATCTTTGTCGAGTTTGATAATCTTCAAGTCTTGCTCAGTGAGAACTATGATATCGATGTCCCATGATATTGAATCTTTGTGCTCTTGTTCATCGTATTCTTTTTTATAATAACCCACGTTACCAACTTTTAGCACCATGCGCTGTTGGAGTTGCCGTGAGAGAAAGAGTGAAGGAGAGTCAAAATCTGAAACTTCATAACTTATGATCTCCTTCTCATTTGGCCATAAGAGTTCCCATTGACTAGAGGCACTGATAAATGTACAGACGAGTGACAGATGTATCAAGCGTTTCGCTGATCCAAGGTGCCACTTCCTAAAATGGTGCCGCAGGATCTTTAGAGATGCTTGCCAAGCAAGATGACAATCGAAAACCAGGAGCTATTTATGCGATGCGGAGGCCGAGGATGCGTCACACTCTGCACGTGACTGATAATCCGACGGGGGCTTAGATGAAAAGATAGAGGTGAGAAGCCATCCAGATTTGATATAAGTCTCAAAGAGTCCAAACTCAAACATAATCCATGGTGCGCAAAACCCCGAAAATTTTCCAAAATATTGTAGATTGAATACGTACCACAAATAGTAGAGAAATAGAATTTGATAATGTTCAATTTCAATCTTAGCGAAAAAATACACACACTGCTCAGAACCTAAAAGTGATATCATCCTTCTCGGCTTGAATAACTGTGTCCACCAGATCTTCTTCCCTCAAAACACAGTTGAAATACCAAGTTCCAGAACCAGTTTGGTAATTTTCGCCATTTGGCAAGACAATCTCGACAGAAGAGTTCAGTGGAACAGTAACTTGAATTGAGAAATTGAGACGATCCAGTTTCCATGAAACACTGATCAACCCGTAAGGAGAACGATGGGCCACCTTTGCATGAGTGAACCCACCACCGAGAATAGGCTCAACCTTGAAACTCTTCCAACCTGGTTCGGATTTGGACAAACCACCAATCGTCGAGTGCATCCAACTTGCAACAGACCCCAAGGCGTAATGGTTGAAGGAAGTCATATTGCCGGGGTTTATAGATCCGTCTGGTAGCATACTGTCGTAACGCTCCCATATAGTGGTTGCTCCCATAGAAACGGCATACAACCAGGAGGGACATTCAGTTTGCAACAACAGTCTGTAGGCAAAGTCTGAGTTTCCAGTCTTGGTTAAAGCCTGAGTGATATATGGAGTTCCTGCAAATCCAGATCCAATCTTGAACTTGCCCTTTCTGACAATTTCGGCTAATCTCTTACCTGCACGGTCAACCTGGTTTTGGTTGGCATAAAGATCGAAACAGATAGCCAGGGCATAGGCACACTGGGTATCGGAAACGGACCTTCCAGAAACAGTCAGATACTCGTCAGCAAAATCCTTCTTGCATGTTTCGGCCATGGAGGTGTAATATTCCAGATCCTTGCGTTTCCCCAGGGTCTCAGAGGTTTTGATCAAAACGGTGAGGATCTTGTAAAGAAAAGCATCAGCCACGAGCCTGGTATCGGTAAGCGCCAAACTAGGGTTCTGTGGAGGAGCAGCTGGGTCCAACCAATCTCCAAACTGGATGATCACCTCACGCCAGCGCACTTTGCCCTCGAGTTTTGGAATAGCTTTAACCCAATCAACCATACTCTGGAACTGTTCCTCGAGGATTTGAGGATTGGCGTATTCATCGTAGATTGCCTCGGGAACCAAAACCGCAGCATCCCCCCAGACAGCACACCCCTCGCTTTCACTGAGGAGAAATCCACCTATATCGGGAACAACCAGTGGCGGAACATCATCGTGTTCCTTTTGCTCAGCACTCACATCTTGTAGCCAGTTCCTGAGAAGAGGAGCACAATCAAGCAGAAAACATGCAGTCGGAGAAAACAGAGCAATATCACCCGTCCAGCCAAGTCTCTCCGATCTTTGAGGACAATCTGTTGGCAACCCAAGAAAGTTCCCTCTCATGCTTCTAACTACGTTGGCATGAAGCTGATTTACCATGGTATTGGAGCTTTCGAAAGTTCCAACTGGAGTCATATCTGTGCTTATAACAACCAACTCAATTGAGTCCTTGGTCAATTCACCATACCAGTTGTTGATCTCGCAATACCTGAAGCCGTGGTAGGTGAATCTGGGAGCCCACGTTTCACCTTCGGGGTCTCCTTTGAATGTATAGGCATCGGTAGCCTTTGCCAGAAGCAATGGTCTAACTCCAAGCTCGCCCTTTTCCATGACCTCAGCATGGCGCAACACGATGGTGTGTGACTCGGGTGCAGATGTTTTCGTGATTCTCACAAAGCCCACCAAATTGAGACCAAAGTCAACAATAGTTCTTCCAGTGGGAGTGGTGAAGATCTCCCGGGGCTTAACTGTTTCAATGCAGCGAACGTATGGGAAAGATTGGGGAAGAATAGACTTCCCAGTGAACTCAACCACATCAACAGCAGACCAGTTGTTTGCTTCAAAGCCTGGAGACGACCAGCCATCTTGCTCTAGCCTTGCATCATAGGTCTCTCCGTGGTAAAGCT